AGCAGAGAAGTAATTCCCAGGCTGCAGACCTATGTAGGAGAAATCTCCCACCGTGAAGGCAAGCCCACCATGGCCTCTGCTTTCAAGAACCAAGCCAGATCATTGCTTGTGCCAACATGCAGTCAAATGAAGAAATCATTACGCAAGCAAGCTACACCTTGCCACCACATCTTTTTTGCTACAGGCCAGCCCCAGGCAGGAGAATGATTCTCATATTACTGGGATCGGAGAGGATCCCAAGATACAGTTTCCCAGTATCACAACTCTGGCTTGAGTGGGGACCTGTTCTTCCCTTCCATTCCCGTCTTGCAAGTTGTTTCTCTGAAAAATTCAAGGTTGTTTAGGCTAAAAAAGAAGCACCCAAAAAAGGACCATGGTTTAGCAGGACACTCACTGTAAAGTGACTTCCAGTCCCTCCTTCAAGAGCAGGTTATGTCCTTGATATGAAACAGTTATTGGACATAGTACAATCTATGTGCATGAAAAACTTTAAAATTCAGAAGTAAGGCATATTCTGAGGATAGACTCCTCTAAGACAGAATAGCATCAACATAGGGAGTTTTCAAGATCCCTATGTCAAGTCAAGAATCTAAATTTGGATCTGGGCACAGGAGACTGACAAGACACCTCATTCAATAACTGAGCAAGAAAGAATACATCTGATCCATCTCAACTCACCTAGGACACCATCCTTCCTCCTCTCAGATGCAAACAGGTTCTTTGTCCCAAGTCACTGCAGGGTACAATGCCAAACAACAGGACACACAGCTACACAATCCTCTTTCTCCCAAGAGAAGAAGTTAGTTCTCTTTCCCCTGACGGCCTCTCAAAGTTCTTGGTATCTTTATGCAGCATGTTCAGCAGAAGGCAAAGTACAGGTGTATGATTTCTGCTCAGGTCCTATGCTGAAGGCCTCACCAGAAGCTAAGAGGTGTGTCAGCCTTAAGCCTTTGCACTGCGCTGATTTCAAGGTTAATATAGTCCATCAAATATTCAGACTAAACTGAAACACAATTCCAAATAACCTGAGAGCCCAAAGAGAACAATTTTGAGAGTCCTTTTGGCTGGCAAAGTGTTCAGCAATCTTTTATCATTAACTTAGCAGTTTCCTAGAACCTATGCAATAAAATACCATCCAGGTCCCACCATTAGGACAGCATTTAGCAAAGCATTGAGTACATTTTCTGCAAATTGGTCATAATTGAACAATTCTGTGAAATAAGCAAAAGAAAGATGTCCTTGCTTAAGTAATTTATCATATAATATCAAATAACCAATTTTATAAATGCCACAGCAAACATCTGACCTCTCCTCAGAATACCTTGTACCCTATTCTATAGCCCTATAAACAAAGAATGTTCCTCACATAATTATCACTTGACTGAAAAGATTAAATGCTACTGCACAGAGAAATCACTCTTTTTCATAAATATCCTGGAGCATTTAAACTAAAATGGTAATAAAGGCTCTTCACAAGGCCCTGAACAGGTCTACTCAGGTGTCCTAGCATCACCTGAAGCCAGGATAAGGGAACAGAGACAAGAAATAAACAAGTTCTGAAAAACTGGTTGAAGTGCGCAGATTAATCAAACACTCCCAAATGCTGCTGATACCGGATATATGGACTGAACAAAGTCCTAAGCAACTCAGTCTGGCTCCAGAGATGTCCCAAGATACCTTCCAACCTAAATTACGTCATGATTTTAAACTATAAATTACTTTGTTCTGTCACTACCCCTAACTTCTCAATTCTTCTTCCCTTAATCCAAACTCCTAGGGCTAACATCTGCCAAGAGAATTATACATCTCCAGCTTATAGCACAGGATTTGCTTTCTCTGTCTTGACTCATTTATATTTTCTTCCCAAACTCTCTGCATCCTATTTGAAATGTCACTCATTGAAGCAGCATTTCTAGACATTGTTTTTTCATCAGTGGAAAACTAGGTACCAGCTAGGTCCAAACTTGTAGCCTGATGTAGGGCCTTTCCCAACATCTGTTCCCTTAAAGTATTTTCCATACATTTCCTGCAGAGATGAGTCTTCAACATAAAATGCTGTGAAAGCAAGAGAACAGCAGGCCTCAAACACACAGAAACATCCTGGCGGACCTTGCAAATGAAAGAGAAGGACCAGAAAGAAACATGACAGCTTCCATCTTCAGTTTCAAATGTCCAGTTTCTAATGTATTCTTAATAACTGTGTGTAAAGCAATTTTTGTAAAAAGATTTTGTAGTCCATGATGTCCCCTATAGAAACAGAAAAAAAAATGAAGTAATAGAAAACAGAGTAAGTTATGGGAGGTTACACAGCCATCATGACGGAATAGTCAAAGCTATGACACCCATTTACCAAACTGGCATTAAAATAACAACACATACATCTTACTATAAATGCAGTATGGGAAGAGAAGCAGACAATAAAATAATACAATGTTTTGTACTTTGGTGGCATAAGCTGAAGATCTCCATCTATTTTACAAACACACAGTTTAGCTTCCAGCCTGGAGAGCAAATATTTAAGAACTCTGTCATCCTTTGTGCTACTGAGCCACCACAAAAAGAGGCTCATCTGCACTTTACTGCAAACGTCCAGCTCTGAGCAGATAAAGCCTGCATCACTGGTCATGACAGTGCCCACTCACAATCAGCACCCAGCACGCACAGCCCCTCAGCTCCCCTGTGAGGTAAACAAAATCTTGGATGAAAGCTCCCTACTCTTCTTTGGAGACAGGATCTGGCCATAAATTACTTCCCCTGTAAGACACAGAAAGCTCTATGGTCGTGAAGAGTGTTGGGAACACATGTCCCAGGCTGGTGTTCCCCATAAATAACCCTTGGAGACAACTGTGATAAATTTTGATTTGGGCAATTAAAAAGGAAAATCTGACTCACAAAGCTTTAAGATAAAGCCAACAGCGAGAGACTGAAAACATGTGGCATCTGCCATTTCTTATAGTTAGCAGCTATAGTACACCTCCATCAGGTTCTTACTTTGCTGACTGACTGAAGCTGCCAGACAAACTCGCCTGCAGTGGCTGATTTAGATGACAGACTACTGTGGCCAAGTGGCTTGCAGTCCTGCAACACACGGGGAAGCATGCTGGTAGTGAAACTTTTATCCTTGCGTATTGAACATGGTGCTTGGAAGCCAGGGAGAGTCATTCTGGGAAGAAACAGGTGAGATCTGGAAAAGGCTAACAGTAGCAAGTTTCTCCGCAGAAGGAATAAAAAGGTGTAGCAGAATTACATCATTAAACTTGTGCACCAGCCTGGCACCTCACAATGCACAGCTTTTAGGGGTGACATCCAAGATCAGTCTCCTGTCACAAATAGGGAAAGGAAGGGTCCTTTGCTTAGAAGATGACATTCAAGATGAGGAGGACTGAACAGCCGAGACAGCTGTAGGAATACGTGAAGGACCATGCTGGAGAAGCTTTACTGCCCACTTCGGGCAGCTGCCAAAACAGGAAACAGTAAAGAAACATCATGAAACAATTTGTACAATAAAGAAACAATTTGCCTCCAGCTGCTTTTCCTATCCTAACCATTGCCAGTTAAAGGCTGATTAATAATTAGGTGCATAAAAGCTGAAATCTCTTCCTAATTTTGTATTTATTTAGTGTTAAGTGAATGTTCTCACTATTCATAATAGTTAAATGTTTTTTGAACCCTGTTAAGTTCTTGACAGTAAGAATGAAATGATACAAATCATGCATTTCTCTCATATGTAAGTTTATGTTGTGTGTCAGGGAGTAAGGCACTTTTGCCATTCTACATTTAATTAGTTCATTGTTTATTTCCCACTAGCTACAGTTCCTTTCCCTCCACACCCACACACACAGTTTGTCTCTCAGGGCCCTTTGGATTGGCAGCTGGATTGAGAGTTTACATATGCTTTCCAAGGCAATGTTTAGAGTTCAACAGACACCTCAGGAGATGGGTGCTGTATTTTGTAAAATGCTGTGTGCCCTCTACACATTTACATTTTAGAAGTTGTAAGGACACATGGCAAGTTCTTTTAAAGACATCTGAAGACCTTTCCCAACAGTCCAACAGCCAACATCCCAGATCCTAATGTAAAATCTTCACATGGCCACAGATCAGCAGACCTGCACATCCCAATCCTCAGGGGCCAGGGACAGCCTGGGAAGGGGAAGACCTGATGATGACTGCGAGTGGCATGCCCAGCCACCCCCTCCTGGAGGGACACGAGAAGGTTGGTCCTAATCCCACAGCCAGGGATATGAGACAGCAAGGGGATAAGGTAACCACAAGTCAGCCAGCCCTGGACTGCCAGGATTGCAGTGTTTCCTCACACAAAGTGCTCCATGGGCCCTCTGTAAACAGGAGGGAGGGGGCAAAATGGCCTTATCTGTATAACTCCAAGGGGCAGGATGATACATCCCTGACGTTCAAGCCCCTGATACTTTGGACAGTGCCACTAGGGAGGGCTGGACTCTCGGCAAGACAGCCTCCCACCAAAGGCCCTTGGAGGGCCACTGCCCCATGGAGAGCCCAGAAACCTCTCTCAGGGAGGAGCAGCTCCTGCAGTCAAGCCCAGTGCTCAGCTGCTCAGCCCAGCCCTGAACTGCAGCAGGGTTCTAGTGCTGCTCAGGGAGGTGCTGACAGGGCCTGCCCTAACAGTGTAGTGAGCAGGGTCACACTCCTGGAGAAAGCTAAACACCAGAACGCACTCTGCTCACATCTCCCACCACCGGCAGGTGCATTGGCCCTGTTGGAAAGATTAAAAAGGCCTGAAAAATGGCCTTCTCTCCCTCGCTTGCTCCCCTGAATGCTAACCAGCTGCTCCAGCTAAAAATATCCAGCAAGGCTGGCATGAGCACAGCAGAAGAGGAGAACGGGGGAGCTGGAAACTTCAGCTTCCTGGAAGGAAAAGGGACAGGCAAGGAAGATCCTTGCCCGCGCCCCCACCCCTGTCCGGCGCCCGGCTGCCAGCACAGGCACGCCCCCCCCTGCTCCGAGACCGAGATTCCCACTTCTCCTACGGGAGGCCATGCCGGCTGCTCCCCAAAGAGCCGCCGGGCCACCCTGTGCAGGACCCCCCTAACACCGCCTTCCGCCCTCTGGCGCTGCAGGGGGTCCCGGACGGGTGGTCTCGGCAGCGCGGCCGCGGGCAGTCGGCCCCAGAGACCCAGCACCCACGGAGCAGCCTGCCTGGACAAGCGCAGAGCAATCCCACCGAGCTTCGCCGCCAGAGCGCAAAACAAAGCGGGGTACTGGGCACCGCCGCCCCTGCTGGCGCGGAGGGCTTCCGCCGGGCAGCGCGGCACGGTGGGGTCGGCCCGCTGCATCACCGCTGCCGACACACTGCAACGCAGAGGGTTGCACGGCAGCCCGCTGGCCTCCTGCGAGAGGGAGCGCTAAAAAACAAGAGGGAGAGCGAGCGAGAGAGAGCGAGCACAGAGGCAAACGGCAGCCCTCCGCAACGGAGCCAGCGGGGGGGCGCAAAGCCCCGCCGCCCCCTGCCCTATCTGCGCGTCCCTCGCCGTCCTGCCTGGCTGGAAGCCGGCCGGAGGACGGACTGCGACGCCGTTGCATCCCCCCTGCCACTCGGGGGGAGGGCGGGGAGGTCGGCCTCGTCGCCCCCAGGCCGAGGCGGGAAGAACCGAGGGTCCCACTCGCCCCCCGCCAGCCGCGGCGGGCCGCACCCCTCCGTCCCCCCGCCCGCCGCGGCTTCCATCCATAATTAATCGCCTCCCCGCAGCCGCCGCGATAAGAGAGGGCGGGCGGGGACGAGGAGGCGGCGGCGGCCGGGAGGCGGGGGGGGGAGCGTGTGCGTTCGCCGCGCCCGGCTCACTGCGGCCGGCGGCTGCCTCCCGTGCGGAGCGGAGCGGAGCCCAGCCGCTCCGTCGGGGAACGCCGCGCTCGCATGGCCGCGCCGCGCCGCGCCGCCGCCGCCGCCGCGGGGCCAGGGAGTGCTGCGGGAGGAGGATGAGGCGGGCGGCGGGGCGGCGGCGGCGGCGGCGGCGCGGAGGATGAAGTGGAGCGTGCGGGGAGCCTGCGCCGCGCTCTCCAGCTGCCTCCTGCTCGCCTGCGCCCTCAGCGCCGCCGCCGTGGGCCTCAAGTGCTTCTCGCTCGGCTCCGAGCTCAAGGGCGAGCCCTTCCGCCTGGGCACAGCCGCCGGCGCCTTCTACTCGGGGCTGCTGCTGGCCGCCGGCCTCTCGCTGCTCGCCGCCGCGCTGCTCTGCTGTCGCCCGCCCGACGAGGCGCCTGCGGTGCCGGCTCCGGACCCGGACCCGGCCTCGGACCTGGCCCCGGCCGGGGACCCGGACCCGACGGGCGGTGGCCCTGGCGTGGGGGAGGCGGCGGCCGCACCGTCCGGGCCGGTGGAGAAGGCGCCGCCCGGGGGGCGGCAGAACTTCCTGCTGCTGGGGGTGCTGGTGTTCATGCTGGGCGTGCTGAGCGCCTTCGCCGGCGCCGTCATTGACGGCGACACCGTGTCGCTGGTGGAGAGGAAGTACTCGCACTACTGCCTACTGCAGCCCGGTGGGGCGGCCCGCCCGCGGAGCAGCCCCGCGGCCCCCGACGGCTCCGCCGCGGCGCTCCGCTGCCAGAAGCTGCGGGACTACCAGCAAGGCTTGGTGCTCTCCACCGTCTTCAACGCTCTGGAGTGCCTCCTGGGCCTGCTCAACCTACTGCTCGTCAAGAACTACAAGGCCTCGCAGCAGCGCGGGCGCCGGCGGCGCCGGCGGCGAGCGGCCCCGGCGGCGGCGGGCGGGCGGCGGCGGCGGCGGCGGGGCGGCGGCGGCGGCGGGCGGCGGGCGCCTCGCCACAGCCAGGGCTCCCTCTTCTCCGGCGGCGAGCCCGAGCTCAGCCCCGGGGATTGCCCCTTCCAGGCCGTCTCGTACATCAACGTGGGCGTCTTCCACGTCTTCGACGAGGCCGGCGTGGAGGTGCACTGTGGCGGGCATCCCTCCGTCGAGCTGCCCGGCTACTCGCCCATGGACCCCGAGCTCAACGCCTCCTACCCTTACTGCTACCCGCTGCCCAGCGAGCAGCCCCCCGCTTACGAGGAGATCTACCCCGGGGAGACCTGTGCCCACGGCACCTAGTGCCGACCGCCGGCGGGACGCCCGGCTCCCGGCCCGGCATCCGATTCGCCGTGACAGCCGGGAGTGGGACCGGCGTCGGGACCGCGACCGGGACCAGGACCAGGAGCGGGCCCGCCAGCGCCTCGCAGCCGCGGGGCTTGGGGACAGCCCTCGCACCGGACCGCGGGCGGGGTGCCGCCGTGCTTTGGCTCTGCGGAAGCTTCTCCTCCCTTCCTGCTTTCCCCTTTCTTTTCCCCCTCCCCTCCCTGCCACCGACCCTTCGTCCGTCTGTCCGTCCTTCCGCCGGCGGCTGAATTTTCCAAAGGCTGCGCAAGAAACGCCTAAGGGTTGGTTCCTCCCGCCGTCCTCTCCTTCGTAGCCAAGTTTAGTTCCCTTAAAGTGATTCATCTGTCTCCAGCTTTAGCAGTCCAGAGTTACCCATTTATGATAACCAGCCATTGTAAGGAAAAGGTGTCATGAAGCTTCTTTACCTCTTAAAAGAGCTAAATTTCTAAACAACGCAGAGACATTTGTGTCACGTTTACTAGAGGTGTATTGGGGATCTTTAACGTTTACACTACTCCTTGGGAGAATTGAGTTCTGTTTTAAGATTTAGTGAGTTAAAACATTTGTTGGTCTTGTAAGATGCACATTGAGAAAAACCTGCACTTTGAAAAAGAAACAGGAAAAAAATCAACAATGTTTTTGTACACTAACGTGCCTGCTTTTGTTGATAACTTACTACTGTAAAAGCTTTCAGAAGTCTATAGTGACAATGTTTGGTAAATTCACTGCAGTTTAAAATTGATGATTAGTTCCTTTACTAAAACAACTGAGATGTTGCTAGGATATGGCAGTTGAAAGGAAGTCCAAATGTCATACACATTCCTTTTTGTAAACAGGTTCTGTGTTTTTAATGCAAGGCAGGATTTCTTTTTGTTTTACGCAGGTGAAGGGTTTAATTCTATTTTGTACAACTACATGATTTACCTTGTAAAGAGTTCCATTTTACCTGTTACAATTCATCAATCTGGTAAGCTTGAATATTAAAAGTTTTATTTGAAAAAAAAAATACATATATAGAACAGCCTTAACTGGTGCAGTGGTCACAGTTTTAAAGAAAAAAAAAAAAGGATAAAACATCTTGGAAGACATCTTCCAAATGTGTTTTCAAAACAGTATTTATACTCCTATTACAAAGCAAGAATTTTCTTTGCTTTTAGAAGAAAGAGGCCACTTTAATTCCTGAAGGGGGGGAATAATGGAATTGTACACTGTTAACTCTTTCTGAACTTAGACGTATTAAAATGGTTTTCTACAGAGAAGAAAACTGCTAAATCCTCGTTTTGGATTCTGCTGTGGAATGCCAGTACCAGATAGTGTAAGAAAGTGCTAATTAAAGAGAAGCAGGTATGGCGTATTTTATTACATCATTCAAGAACAGGTAAAGGCTTAATTTCAAGTTGCACAAAGAACCAAAAAACAACTCTTCATATTGCATTTGGTTCAGTACCACACCCCCACACACCCCCCACCTCAGTTACAGCATACTGAAATTAAATATTACAAAATGAGCTTTCTGTTAATTCTGTGTTTGGAGCTGCTGCATAATGCCAGTGTATCAGCTACCCAGAGAGAGAGAGTTAAGGGGAATGCCAAATGACAGTGTATTTCTGTGGTCGATGGAAAATTATTTTTATATTTTTAGCTGCAGAGAGACTGACGTAATTTACAGCCTTAAAACTGGAAAGAGAAGATTTTAGGCTAAAAATATTAAAATCTCTCTGCAGTGTTTTGTTTTATAAAGTGTTTTGACTTGCATACTTTGTATAATCTAAAATGCCTGAGAAGTCTTAAAATTGCAAACTGATGCATGTGAAGCTCACAATTAAAGCTCTAGAGACAACAGTTAAAAGCAGCAGTTGCCAATTTGTCAAGTAGTTCTGAATAGCAGAAATTTAAAATACAGCTTTGTTTGGCCAGCAGATTTCCTTGTGCAGAATGCCAGCCTAAAACATATATCCTAGCTAAGTCCCATTTTAGTACTGAAGATTGGTTTTATGCTGGCTCTCTGCAGATGCACTTCCTTAACCCCTTATGGGAAGTGACTGGGAAGTCCTGTAGTCTTTACCTATAATACTTATTTAGGCACAAAACCAATCCCATAACATACTGTATTGTTCATACAGCCAAGATTTTGCAAAATGAGTAACTGAAGCAAGGAGGCTAAATCCTTATGTAGGTCTCCAATTAGATGAGTTTATGAGACAGCATAGTACCCTGTACTGAATTAAATGGGAACTGCTAGGCTGCAGGTTGATTTTGAAAAACAGTCCAGCTAGGTGCCTAAATACAGATGCAGAAAAGTAGTAATAGTTGTTGGCTTTAAAAAAATTGGCTATATACATTGTAGTTCATGGAAGTTTTATCTTAGTTTTACTTAAGGAATTAATTTTTGACATAAAAATGTGGTATTTTACTTAAGATAACTATTTTAGAAATTATGAACTAGACAGTTCTGAAACTCCAGATGTTCCAAAGATCAGTGCTCAGGGAAATAAATGGAAAGTCAAGAAAGCTACCTATTATACTCAATTGTTTAATTGTAAACAATTTTAAACTATGAACTTTTAAGATTGTTAAATTCATAGCTTTTTTTTTTTTTTGTATGTGTGCATGCATACACATGTGTGGAAGTGTGCTTGTGTTTTATTTAAGTCTGTTCAGAAAGCCCTTGACTTAGGATATTTATTTGTGGCTCAGTTTTAGTTCCCAAATTTCTACTTTTCTTCATTTGTGCTTTTATCCCCCGTAGTAATTTAGTTTAGTGGTGGACAGATTGCCAGAATAATGTCCAAGTTGGACTCCCACTGAAGCCAGTAGACATCATTTCATTGACTTCAGTGGGTCTGGGCACAAATGACATGTAACACCTACTCTAAATAATCTTTAAAGTAATATTGATCTTCTGGCATGACAGGATGCAGCAGTGGCATATTATTTCTCATTTATTATTTGTATGGACAGCAGTATTAAGGGAGGTCACCTATGGTACTATTCACATTTTTTAAAAAAAACAGGAGAAAAAAATTGGCAGACAAATTGACCAAACAAGCCATGTTTTCTTAAAGATGGTATACAAGTGTTTCAGGTATCTGATGACTAACTTTTCTGATAAAACACCACACATACTAATTTCTCAGTGAGAAGAAACTTACAAATACAGGAAACAAGATGAAGCTTCACAAGCATGATTGCAGTACTGTGAAGCCATTTTTAGCAAACCTAAATCATCACTCTTATCTTCTGAGCAATAATGTTAGAGTGTATAAACTGTACTGTGATGAAATTGAAAATAGGCTGGTGTGGGAAGCATTGGAGCGTAAGTTAATTGCCTGAGACAACTCATACTGTCCCTTTATTTTCCATTCCCTGTCACATGAGTGTTGAGGCGAATGCAAGCCTGATCGATTCATGTCACTGGAGGATGTTAACTGCAAGGCTTTTGACTGAAGCAGCAAAACCAGGTAGGATGTAAGAGAAACTTCATGTATGTGCTATCAAACCTCCATTTTGCATAGCCGAAGTAACAAGACTGCTTTTTGCCCCACAGCTCATTTGAATTTGCTCACAGCTTTACTTGCATGTGTTCAAAGGGAGGAAGGAATTAGACACAATACTGCTGTTTTGGTCACAGTGGAGTACTGAATTGGTAGCAGACTGCTCCCAGCTTTCTTGTCCCTTTTGCAGGTAATAGCAGCTAGGCAAGGGGTGACATGGTGGAAAATCAAGTCTGCTGTCTTTGATGGGAAAGGATTTGCCTTCATGTGGAAAAGATATATTCTTACCAGCCTATTAGCAATTCACATGAATTACTTTCACACTCCAACATCCTTGCTTAAATCTGTTACTTATACTTTGCATTGTAATTGACACACAGAATATATGTGAATCTAAAAACGGGGGAAAAAATGATGTCAGAGGGAAATTGTAGTACAGATTTTACTCAAAAGTTTGATTTCACTGTAGGACTTCTTTGGTTCACCAAAAAGCGCTATGGTGGCTGGTATAACTTAGATATATTTCAGACATACTGTTTAATCATCAGAAGAGGTTTCTGAATGTTCACATGAGAACAGCAATCTGTTTCTGCTTTTGGATATAGTAGATATGAAAACCTTTTCTTCATTTTGCCATTTAATCCAAGATTGATCCTCAAGAAAATGTCAGTAATTGATCTTGTAATTTTAGGATCAATAAAATACATTTTAAAGCACAGCATATCCTATTTAAAAAGCCTAATGCTCTTCATTTCCTATTTTTCACTGTCTTAGACAACTGTCTAATAGTACAATTGAAGCTACAGAATTAATTACCACTTTCATTACAAAAACATGTTTCTCAGGGACTTGTACAAATGGAAACCTGATACAGAATTCCAGGTTTTACCATGAAGTCAAGTCTGTTTCCTGAAGTTAGATATTTCTGGGTTACAGGGTGTTCCAGTATTTTAGATAAATTCCACTGGTAAAAAATAACATCTGTTCATTTCATATGATAGCACTTTTTAAGTTTGCTAAAGTTACCCCTCTTTAAGACAGTATCATAGGCTCGTATTTCAATTAAAATGCGTAAGGGTGAGTACGATTGAATTCCTCATGGTCACTGTCTGTTTTTTAAATTTATTAATTATCTCTCAGTACTTAATGGAATGTAACTAGTGCTTAGTATATGTTCCAGAATCAGTAATAACTGATCTAATAACAGTTCAGGAGATAAAAATGTTCTCTGGGAAGCCCACAGGCTAATGTAGTGCTGTGAGAAAATCTTCAAATACATGTTGCAACAATTTGGTGTATGGCATGTCCTGCCCAAAAAAAGCAAGGGTGCAGGGGGTTTGTGTGCTCTTTCTATTACAATGTCGGTTCTGAAACCTTTTCCCTGTGTAACTTTCTAAGAGTGAAATTCACAAATTGGTGTTCTCAAAATGTGTTTGAAATAACTGCCTTGCTTTCCGCTGGCCAGCTGGCTATGTACTTTCCACCCAGTGCGCAGGAACCTGGTGAAGTTCATCTGAAGTGTGTGGGTACGTCACCCTGATGTAATCCTAGATAATCTGAGACCGAAGATCATATAATTCAAGAAGCCATAAAACTCTCATCAGAAGAGCATATTTTCCTTCACAGAGGAATAAAATCCTGATGTTGTCTTTCATTCTTTCTTCAGATCCAGCTGCCTTAAACTTCAGTGAGTTTACCCTGAGGTGGGAGTGGAGATGACATTGCAGACTGCTACTCCTTCACTCGTTGAGTTTTAGATATCTGAAAGACCTCCATAAGCTTTATGGAAGGAAACACTTCTAGTGAAAAACAAACAAAAGGCTCTGACTTATCACCAGATCACCGCAGAGTCAATGTCCTCAGTGAAACTGTTCAGTAGATGCATCCCAGTAGCAGTACAGCCTAGTAGAAGTTCCTAGCGTTTCACTTCTGGATTTCTACTCCTGGCATGGTTCTGTCTAATGGGGATGTTAGAAGTTCATTTCATGGTGTTTGCAAATTAATGGTTTGTTTCACTACAGTACATAGGGATTAAACACTTACTGTATACCACAAGCATCCTCGCCACTTGGTCTCCTTTGTGACCATTGTTGGCAGAGGATAAAAGTGCGGGAGGAGAGAAACCTTATCATGATCCTTTTAATGGGTTCAGAGGACTAACCATTCCAAAGCATTCATTGGTTTTATATTAAGACACTGGATTTCAAGATGGGAGCATACCTATAATATCTAAAAGGATTATTTTCCAGAGATCTATTTCTGGAAGCCTAATAGTTGGGCTTAGAGAAGGTTCTTTCAGAATCTACTCTTTCTCCCAGGTTCTACATTTTAAATGAAAGCTCATCTTACAAAAGCACTGAGTGAAATCTCCAGGCATCTAAATTATTAAATTTAGGGAGATGGAATAGAGCTGTCCTACAAATTACTGAGTGCCACCAATTCCTGGAGAGGCCATACAAGGAATTTGGCACGTGGTACAGATGGGGTCTTATATGCCAACATCCAAATTCTGGCATTTCCTCACAAATCAAGGAGGCAACAGAAAGGAAAGCTCCAGATGATACTGCCCTATTTCAGGCAACAAGGCAGTCATGGGTTTTCGATGAACTACATACAGTCTCAAGGTGTATGTAATTACCATGCATTCACGGTTAAAACAAATGCCCTCACAAAGATATTCACAAGGGATTTTCGGTGGTGGATCTGAGTAGAGGCTCATCTTGCTAGCTCTAGGCCAAACAGTTCCTAGAAACATGGAAAAGTCCTGCCAAAAGAAGCTCATGCTTACACTGGAAAAGAGAGAGCCACTGAGAAATTTCTACTACGTTGCATTTTGGAAAATCTGCCTCTTTCTGAATGACCCAGAAGACAACGGAGTATGTAGATTATCTAAATTAGAATGCTGGGAAAGCAGGAAACAGAAATGCAAGTGTTGATAACTACATCTGTCCAAAATTTTTTGATGTATAATCAAGAGCTGTGTTAATTCTAGGAGCAGTACCTCCTGACCTGAGCAGTCAAAATTATTAGTAACCAAAAAAATTACTACCACCAAAATAAGACTGGGATTGAGAAAATCATATACTGTCTTCTGAATTGTGTCTTGTTCTAAATCAAAATGAAAGAAAATCAGATACAGCTTTTTGTGAAACTGTTGCTAAGAAATGTGGTTTGTTATGCTGAATGGAACAGAAGGGTGCTTCTCTCAACAAATTAGGAGCAGATAGCTGCACTGAAACACATTTGGCTGTGAGAGAGACTTTCTCTTCAGTATAGTTCTTGGAGAGCTACCAGAAAATATTGAAAGATACCATCATCATCCAGGCTTACCTGGACCATTTTTTAGTGCATTGAGATTCATGTTCCCCTATGCAGTGGGTCACACACTGTCTTGTCTTGCCGATGGGAACAAGTAGCTATCTCTTTCTTGTGACACCACTAAAGCAACACCTGCTGGATATGTGGACGGAGCTTCTGAACCCCTGAAAATGGGTGCGATGTGGCACTGGTTTGTGCATGTGTTGCGAGAAGGTAAGGCAGGACATGCTGCAGCTCAGGTGAAACACTGTCCTGTGTTACATGATGGGGAAGGCATGTTGCTGTGGATCCAGACTTGTTACAGTCGTCTTGGATGCAGAGAGGCCTAGGTTGCATGTGGAGAACTGCTCCTGGGTCACTTTTGCAAAAGCAAAATGCCCACATCAAGTGGAATAGGGAGAGGAGGACTGTCTTTATTCCCCCCTGAAAAAAATGAAAGTGACCAAATTGCAGACCTTCACAAGGTTAAGTTTGTCTTGGGTTCCGTTTTTATCCTCTGATTCCCGCTACTAGTTTCTCCAAAGGAACAGTGTACAACAGGCTCAGGATGGCAAAGTGTACACTTTCTACTGCCTCTCTGCTTAGAGGGAAAGTTTGACAATGGTGTACTAAATTACTCAATCAGGCAATAAATAGAAAAGAGTAACAAGACATGAAAAACGTTTGCCTGTGTCATATGGTTGAGCTTTATGATGCTCTGGGCTGTCCTTTGCGGAAGGTTGTGGCAGTTCTTATCTGCTTAAGGTCTGCAAGATCCAGAGCTCTAATAATGAGGATTCCCGTTGGAAGTTTTCCTGGACTGATTTATCTCAAAGAGCAACCCTGGCCCTGTTTCAGTAAATGCATGTCAGCATCCAAGCATGAAAAGAAAAAAGCATAATCCAGACAGAACTGTTCATTCGTTCATAGTTATTAATTTTTCATCAAGAGCAGCAAAAAGACAAACATTAGCATTAACATCTCAGATCCAGAGAACTGCTTCATTGTAAGAGGTTTTGAAGCTGACTGGTAACATAGCAGGAGAAGGTTTTTACACCAAAGGAAAATGGATATTTCACAGTTCTGCTGTCACACTGTTCATAATGTGCAGCAAGGGCTAACAATAACAGGAATTTCAACTTGCCTTACACATGCAGCTGCAAATGCTTCAAATCTCCAGATGACTATTCAAAAACTATTTTATACATGACTTGACTAGACTCGCAGTCAAGTACCTACTTTGCTCATAGCTACGTATTGGGAGTTTTTAGTCTTGTGTGTGCATGGCTAAAATGTTGTGCTGGCTGTGGACAGATGACCATCTTCATTAGCCAGGTCACTGCCACTGGTGAGGCAAGCTCACCCATTCTGTTTGGCATTGCACTGGATCAGGAGAGCACCCCCACTGAGCCACTAAATCTCAGCAGAAGTGCAGGCACTTTTGCAACATGGAGCCATACCTGACTCTTCCCCAGTCACACTCCACGGTAGGCCTCAGTGAAACCTGCAGGTTTATGGGCAGGAAATTACCATCACGCTTTTGCACAGGTCTCACAAGGAAATGAAGCAAGAGGGCGGCAGGTGAGATCTTCAGCTGCTTGCCTTACCCTCAAGGTCAGTGAGATATTCAATAGCACAAGGCCTCAGTGCATAATGGTACACAGCACACCAGGACGTCAAGAACCACAAGAAATGCCTTTCTTCCCTGAAGGACTTGTCAGTATCACAAGAACACACAGAATAAATTGAAGCACTGATGTCCCTAACTTAGAAAGCTGCATAGCTTGAGACAGAGAGGGCCATGGCACTGTGCTGTGATCCCCATTCCCTATATCTCATCAGCTGATGCAGACTCATACATGGAGAAGTAAGGGGAGTAACAACTGTGCATTTAACTGGTTAAATTAAGCATTGACGGACCACCAGAGATGGAGTTAAAACACACAGAGGCAACCTCATCCTTACCCTGCCCTGGACACATACCTGGAGAACTTCAACAGGTAGGAACTTTGTGGGGACAAGTTCTAATTGAATCAAGTGGAAAGAAAACCCCTCTCTACACTGGAAACATCCAGGAATTCCTCAAAAAAAAGGGTCATCTTGCTAACAGCAAAATGGAAACCCACAAGAAATTTCCAAGAAGGGTAGTTCAAGTGGAGAAAACCCACTAAAACCTACACAAAGTAGAAGCTGATACCTTAAAATTTCACACGTCTTCTTTCTTTTGGAACAGTCACACCAATTTGTTCTTTACATTTTCAGCTCCAGCTCTCAGGCAAGATAGAAGCTGGTAGGAGGCAGACACCAATAAAGGCTCTACTGTCAAAGTGTCAGGTAAAGGGAAACCATTTTTACATTTCTGCTCTGATAAGAGAGGACCATATATTCTAGCCTGGAAGCTTAGATGGCAGAAGCAGTAGTGATTAATTGCTCTAATTAGGGATCCACACAGGAAAGAGTTGAGTTTCCTGAAGTATTGCGTGCTAAATTTCCTCACTATTCATAGAAGTGAGGATGAATAACTGTATTGCTCAGGGGAGATGGATATCAAAGTGCATCTCCAGAACAAAGATTTACCCACTTCAACTTAGAATTACCACTAAAACCTCAACAAAAATAACTAATGAAAAGAGACAGCAGGCTATTTCAGCACCTGGTAAACAGCGTAATAGCCCAGTTCAGTTGCTTCCCTAAGGAGATCAGTAGTTGCTTGCATGAGCAACTGCACTGAAAATGGGTGTGTTGGTCTGCTTGTTGGTTTCAGTGAACAAATGATTTCTGCTGGCCATTTCAGCACTAACAGAAGACTTCCCAGCAACAGGGCTGGTAGCTTGACCCTTTCATGTTCTTCAGTGAGGTTTGTTCCATTCCACCTCCACCTGCTTTTCAGCCAGCAATGGCCTTTCTGCCACTAATGGCTAAATGTCAGGTCCTGATTCTGACCTCTCTGATGAGGACAAATGGAAATAAAACCACTGCAATCAATAAAATTACACCAAACCCTGCCTCTTTTTACCAGAAAGAGAGCAGAGCACATAAAGTGCTGACTGTCAGCTTTGCCAAATGCCTTATGGGAAATTCTGAATGCATGTCTTCAAAAAAACCGTGGAAGATGTTTAGCAAAAAAAAAAAAAAAATCACAGCGTTTTAGTTGGAATATATCCTACACAGTCCAGGAGTCAGCCAACTTTAGAAACACTCTTCTGTCATATGCAGAAAAACATTTTGCTTCAGCTGAGGCAAGCTGCCTCTTATTGACAATCAGAGGTACTGGCACAAACCATCTAATCTGGAGTGTGGCCATCTACAAATAGCTAGAAGCACACAAATAATAAGGGTTTATCACTGCATGCTGAT